ATCCATATCATCAGCGTTTCCCTACTTGTTTCAGTAGTATCTTCAGGACTCGGATGATATTTCGAATGCTAAGCAATGCTACCGCGTCCAACAACTCGTGTAAAAAGTGCTCCAGCCCAGCGTGCTGTCATCACAAAGGCTGATACGGGGAATTCGCCCGTTTATGAAACACTCGCGAACTATACAATCCAGTTGTCCATTGGTCAAGGACAGTTCGCCACGGTCTGGCGGGCTATTCACAAACCATCTGGTCTAAACGTGGCTATGAAGCGTGTGAAGGTTACCGGAATGCGTCTGTTCGGTGTTATCCTGCAAACTGTTGTGCACTTTTGTGTTGTGGCTTGGTCCTGTGATTGATACAACGCATGCTTTGTTGTCCTTCGACTATCTTCTGAGAAGGGGCTAGATAACTTCTGGGAACAAATAACCGTAGATGCTCTAATTGGTTTGTGCTGGTTGTTCGTACTAAGAATGCCATTTTTGCTAAGAGCTAAGAGCAGGGCTTGATGTCAACGCGAGCTGCTAGCCTAGCCAGTTGAGTGATATTGGCTCATAGCAACTCGCAACTTGGTATTTCATCAAATTATCCTGGTGAATCGTTGTCACCGGAGCAGGTCATTGAAAGCCTGTTTGTTTCTAGAAAAACTCTTTGTTGAGCAAAATTATGCTGGGTGATCCTTATAAGGAACCAGATAATTGGCAAGCCAATGAGAATTGAATTGAAAATAAGTGTTATCACGGGGCCGATTAACAGCACAATGCTCTCAGATGTGCCAGAATGTTGGATTTTGTTGTGTGTGTCTGTGCTCAAACCAAAAGCCATCCTAATCTATCTTTTTAATGTACTACTCATAAGGTTGCTGAAAATCCATCGACAGCCCACGACCGGTTTCGCCCTTCTAATTTGGGCTCATCAGGTAGGCGCAGTCCCCGGGTTTCCGTCAACCTTATGTTCTACTTGAAAACAAATTGCACGAAATAAGCGAATATACACTCATTTGCAAACTAATTTGGTGTTTTTCATGAGGCGGCCTGGTACAGCACATTCATCTGTCTGAAAACATCATAAACGAGAGATTCAGCTGGGTTCCAGGTGAGTCTCTCGAAAGAACCAAATTAGTTTGCAAATGAGTGTACATCCTAATCTATGTTCATATTCTCGTGGCTCACCAATTGTCATTATCCATTGAAGCAATAATACCTCTTGCGAAAAAAGTCTCGTGGAATACTTCCCCAGCATCGCTGAGATTCCGGGATGCCTAGATGAGACTCTGAACTCAGTTTTGTCTGTTTTAGACCATCAGGAGCACACTGTCGCTTTCGAAAATTCAATTCTATTGTGCGAATACTGAGCGCCTGTTATCACTGCAAGCTGTGGTCAGTTTTGAAAAAGCTTACTGCCGCGCGATTAACCCTGATTTATGCTCATCACACGGTTTTTCAATGTTTCCGACTGCAGTATATTGGTAGTGGCCACATTCCCCCTTCTAGGCAACAGATTCACATAAGCCTGGTACTTGTACGGTGGTTGAGAGCAAGTCAGGAATAAAACTTGACTACTCCTCAGTGGTCAAATTGTCTTACTCAAATTCGTGATAGTAACACAGAGGTGCGGTGAACGACAAAGATTGTAGACCCGTTGGATACAACTGGGGACATAGACAGGAGATGCCTCTTCAAAAAACACTCTGCTCATGTACTTAGGATCATTGTGGAACAGTTCATCAAACCAATATGACTGAGTTCATAAGGCCAGGTCTACAGACCACGGTCGGGTCTAGAAACTACGTAGCATTACATGTTTAACTATTCATCTAATGCGCCCTCAACAACTTTGGCTAAGTTTTTTTTGTTGTCGCGACAGTCCGAGAATAAAGTTTACATTACACACTGACAATATCGGGGAGAAATTCCACTTTTCACAACCGGGGATAGTTTGACGTGGTCACACCACGTCCTATCCAGTCAGGTCACCCAACTCGGCATGTTCACCTTGTCGATATGAAACCGCGGTTCGTACTAATCGGTGTGGAAGTATCGATGACACAAGCCTTCCTAGAAGACCATGAGAAGTGTACCTCCATCATCTGTTTGTTTTTTTTCTTTTTATGCGAAACAGGTATATGCTGAAAAACCGCTCCATTTCCTTCTATTATTTACGTTCAAAATGCCAGAAGGCATTCCTATACATAACAAAATCTTGGCTTTATCGGTTGTTCTCACTTGCGTGCACAGCTCAGTTCACTGTGAGGTAGTATCAAAGTCGACTCATGACGATTTAGTCAGTCGATAGATTGGCTCGCGATAAACTAGGCTGTGAGAAACCGTCCACGACGAATTGGCCGATCATCTCCATTTATAACTGACAGTTCCTTGGTACCTTAGTGTGGCCATGTGCATGAATTTTCCCAAAAACGCGTCTTGTTACATTTACTAGTTTACTGTGCATTAATTTACAATAGTTCGAGGGAAACAGGGTATGTTTGCGGCCATCTGAATTGAGAAACATGCGTTTTATAGGAATTTCCGGGCCTTTATGGATGGTACAAGCTCATCCCGGTGACATGGATCTTGAGAAATTTCACGCAAATATTGACAATCGCATTCTAAGAACAGATAGTCCTACACCTACGTGTTAAAGTACATTTCTTGTTGTGCATACGGTTACCAGGACAACGGTATCAATGCGTTATGGGTCACCTTATTTGGCATGGTTCTTTCACACCGTGTCAGCTGTGGGCAGAAATGCTAAATTCTTTGTCCTTTCTTTGTCCAGGCAGTTTGGTGCAACTATTCCTCATGTCAATAACTAGCTTCACAAATCACCCTAAACAGGACGGCGGTGGGGGAGCTTGAATACTAATCAGCTGTCTCCAAAATTGCTCCCTACAGTGTTTGTACCACACGCTAACGTGGTCTATGGGATAGGAGAGAACTCGCAGTCTCTCAGTAAGACCCCATATGAGAAGACCGGATGTTGAAAACATGGGACATGCTTGAGCGACTGAGATTTCGCAGGCCATGCTAAATTAGTGCAATGTAAAAATAGCGCTTGGATTGCGTTTTGATATCCTCCGTCTGTCGATGACGTGGTAACAAAACTCTGCCATACAGAACCAAGTTTGAGCAACATTTGGCCTGTTTTTGCCGCATTGCGTCGCGACTTGACCACTGCTCAGAGTGAAAATGAGGTGAGAATTTTTCCATATCCGTTTCACAGGTATCAGAGTATCCATCCCCGAACAGAACTTGAATCAGCAGACTTGAAACGAGGCGCCTAACCCAGTTAGACGTACTTGGAAATATTTTCTTGTGAACTACTCGATATTTACGTACGTCCTCAGCCCTCACTTTTGACGGTCTCGTCGCCAATTCGTACAAATTGTGTTTCGGCGAGACAATGTAAAACACACCACAAATTGTTGCCCATATACCCGAGATTGTGATACAATTTTAGACAGACCATGGAAATTTCATTCCGCAAACTTGCTCCCCCCGTTACCAAGACAACCATAGTCGCCGGCGTGATAAACAATGGATGGGTCTGGGGAGATTGTACGAGAGAATTCGGTCGTGATTTCAGTGTTGTTTTCGCATGATATGTTGGTAGATGGACCAAAAAGCATTTCTTGTTACTAGGGCATTTGAAACCCAGACCGGATGAAAAAGATCCGTGAGTTAAAATCCTCCTTTCTGGCTTCCATTCTGCTCGGCCGATGCGAAAATTCCAATCAATCCGCTTCTAGAAAGAATACGCTTCCAAGAAGGGTGTTCTATCCCAGTTTGTCTGCGTCGAGAGGTAGTTTTAAGGAGGTATGAAATTTTCTTAAAGGTATCCTTCATGCATATGCCGTGCCACAGTCTATGTACTTGGGTGGATGAGACGAAAGCCAAGGTGTGCCCATTTAGGAAACCGTTTTTAGCTGAACGCTGAATAAATAAGGGAGCGAGCTCAACGTCTTCATAGCCCAAACTTCGGGGGTATAAGACATTCCCTTCACGCAACTGTTGATGTATGGAACTTACTCATGCCCAGAAGTGCATCATTGCATTGCATGATCTGAAATGCTACACTTTATGTACAAGTTTCATGGTTGAAAACTTGACAGACTGTTTAAGTAGCCTTGAGGGTGTCCAATATTATATTCAACGGTATCGCTTTTTCACAGTTTTGGCACGATGTAAGTACTAATCATACGCTTATGGCCCTAGTGAAGTTCGAAGTACAGGCAAGTTTCACAACTAAGGTCGGGGCAAGCTACGTAGGTACCAGATCATTCCACATGGGTGAAGGGCAAAGAATAATAGTCGTGATCAGTCAAACACTTGCATACATCGGGAGGTTTATGCATATTTGATCTGCGTGTTTCCCGGCTGTTTTGTTTCACTTTGGAATGACCAAATCCAGTTCTAAAAACGAGTTCTGTCAAAACGAATGTGGAAGGTGAAGGTGGTCGATTGTACTCTGGTAGATGTTTCTCCGAATCACTTGATGTCTGTTCCAGCTACAAAAAAAAGTTATATAACTCCCCCCCCGCCAAGAGAACACAATTCTGGCCGACCTCAATGCTGCGCCATCTCCTTGGAGCGGTCTCATTCTACAGGTCTCATTCAATTTTACTTCCTCGAATAGGAATATGAACCATTCAAATCCGTCGAAGTGATTGACTCTGAACTTAGTTCGATCGTTCAGCTGTAGTACCCTTTTGGTGCCTAACTGCTATGCCACCCGAAGGTTGCACGAGGGCTGGGATACTGCTAGGTTGACCAAGCCTAGGCAGGGGAAGTTGAGAGGCAGAGGTCGGGTTCGAACCACGGACCTTCCGGTCAGTTCTAACCACTTGGGCTATCTCTGAGTACTTGTCACCTGATAGGAGACAAACACTGGTTTGACCGTATCTACTCACCACTGTATCGTTCGGTGTTGTCATGTAACTTTGTTTTACTTTATCTTTAAAAACACGTCTACTGCACATTTGGCTGCCCTCTCCTCTTTCCAGATATTTGAGATGACAGATGCAAAGGCACGTAACGACTGCATACATGAGATAGACTTGCTCAAGGTAAGTACACTGCGGTTTCGGTGGGAATTTTCGATTAGGAATTGTACATCCTGGGAGGTTGTCCCAATCACATGTTGTTCACCCTTTGAACTTTTGAAATTATCGGTCACTTCCAGGTTTTTTGGTTGGAACTGAATGTGTGACCAGTAGGCGTGCGCGTGGTTGATGCAGTTCACAGACGGAACGTAGTTGGAAAAACGCATATCCTGAAGACGAGGGACACAGTAGCATGATCTTCACACATTTCGTAACTAAGCAATCATAATGTTCCACGGAGTTTTGAGGCCATATTCATGAAAGCCAACGATAACTATCGGTTAGATGCAATGCATTTACGTAGTGGTAATTTACATGCTTGGCTATTTATAACCAGTCAGAAACTTGGTTACATGAAGCTAACTATCCGGATGACTAGCCTACTTTTGCTCGGTTAACTGTGGTTGTCCAGCGAATCATTTCTACATAAAATCCCATCCTCTGGAAGGTCAAACTTATGTGATCTTATATGGAGGAAAATGTCGGTAGCTCAGGTAGCGTAGATGTTCGTTGGCTTGTTCCCCGAGCTGGGCAATTTGATTGCAAACGTCTCATCACCAATCGAGATGACATCAACTGTGCGTTATTGGGGAGCGTGGTTGTGCGTAGTGGTGGGTTGGTGGTTGTGCGTTGAGTAGTGGTACGTGTGTTAATATACGTGCTGTTAGCCGGGGTCTAGTTGTTCGGTCGAGCGGTTCCATTAGTTGCTCTGTTATCCCGTGTCCCCATTCGCCGATGTCCACGTGACCTTTGAGCTTGGCATCCATCGCCGTCGTAATCTGGTCGATGTTGGGATAACCTTCGTCCTTCCGAGTT